GCGATGTGAATCACGTAGAGCATTGAGTTTTCATGAGCGGGTGGTTTCAATTCACGCATCAAGAATCATTAAATATCTTCGTAAGGAGTTAATTTCGGTAATTTTCGTTGTGCGTATCGTGTTATACGTGAAATTTTGGTCAGAAAACATGTATCAGAATGCTGAAATTCGTACCTTGTCTAGTGGTCCATTTTCCCAAATAATTCGGGTTTTCTTTGGGGAAAAAAGACAACGTCTGTAGGTTCATACGGCGTTTTTCCTTAGCACAGCAGTATTAGTCACTGCAAAATGACTTTGAATCTGAATGCTTCTCTCTGATTCACACACACTGGTTAAAATCCAAAGCGACGAGTGAAAATACGAATCCAGTAGAAAGCGAGGGAGTCACACAATTACGACTGCCACTGCCACCTCACATCACGCTCCTAGATGCGCCTTCAAATCCTATAAATACCAAATTGCGTACACGTTGCCGGGCCGCGCCGAGAATGGCTCAACCTCGGCAAATTCGCGATATCGGATTTCATTCGAACGTGTTTATGCTAAAAGAAACTATGTTGCACGTTAACTCTATGCACATAGTTCCTTTTAGCATAAATACGTTCCTCGTACGATCCTGTCGCAAACGGTGCATTCGAACTAGACATCCGGCTGTGAGAGCTGCTTGAATTTGACGTCGAGTTGACGCGAATGTTCGCACTTTTTCCCTCCACCTTAATACGTCGTTTCTCGGAAGAAGAAACGTAACTTCTTTCCAAGGTTGCAAAATGGACCGCACTAGACAATTAAGGTTTGAATTTGAGAAATATGAAAATAAAACATAATTGGATCGCACTTGGCGAAAACGAACCAGTGGGTCGATTGTTGAATCGGTATCGAACGACCTTGATCGATAAATTGCATTTCCAAGGTGTTTGTTGCGAACACCTTATGTTCATCGACCTTTTATACATGTTTAAATGGGGAAATATCGATTATCAATCATTCACGCCTCGATATATCGCAATGCATGCCACACCTCCGTCCTCAGACGTTGCCTAATTTTCTATGATGTTTTATTTTTTTAACAGAAAACCAAGCAACACTGAGATCAGAAATTCTGAGAGTACACTCTTTATTATTCTAGTAATCTCGAGAACTTTTCAAGGCTTCATGGAACTAAATGAAAAGCTCAGGCAGGATTCTACCTATACTGTTCGTTGAACTCATACCTATGCTCTCAGAAAACATGTGGATGTGTGGAAATCCGTGCCAGTGAGTTTCCTGCTGCGGCTGTGTTTTCGATTGAACCGCAGATGAACCTCTCATCGAGTAGTTCGGAGAGACAGGCTACATAATTAAAACCACTTCAATTGAATTTTCCCTCGTAAATTTTGTCTGACATTTTAACGAGAATTTGAATGTAAATTTCTGAACGTTTGAGCAATATTACGAACAAGGCCTCGTTCTTGTTACTCTGCCGTGCTTTGAAAAAACGGGGAAAAAATTGTGGCTAAGTTTTTTCTCCTTCCATTTTTTTAAATTATTCAAACAGAACATTGGATTACTACTTCGGGGGATCCAACCGTCCTCATAATGTGTTGCTTCCCAGACGAAGGAATATAACTACTATCCAACGTGGTAAAATTTCCTCTCGAAAAAAGCATTTTTTAGAGAACTGTTGGACATTTGGATTGCATTTTGCAAAAAGGAACCACTAGCATTGCAATGTTGCTAAGATTGTGCAACTTCTTTTGACTTGGAGGAAAACCCCGATTATCCATTAATAGTTTCTATTTTACTCGCTAAAAACTGTGAATTTAAGACAAAAATTACCATCTAAATTTCATAGTATTTCACGATTTCCGCAATTTTATTGCAAAGGATGAAGTTGCACAATCTTAGCATCATTGCAATGCTAGTGGCTCCTTTTTGCAAAATGCAATCCATTTCAGACTGAGCATTGACTGATTATTCTTCTGATCGTAGGTATACAAAATCAAAATTTTGGACAAAAATCGCGCAGCCATATATTCTCGTAAAGAGTTTAATTGTTTGAGTCACTTGTTCAACCTCCGAATCTCGTTACGTTCTTTAGTCCGGGAAACGACACATTTTGCAATAAGGAACTATTACTATTTCTAGTACATACATAGAAGCATTTGTCTGCGTAAATATGTTCATACTGACGAAATTGTTACGGTAACGTTCGATGCGCGATTCGAATCACATGGACTATTGTTTTGTGACATTTCCTAATGAATCCCAGTTTTCTCCGGTCTTGACACCATGTCAGAAGGGGCAAATCGACGGTGAAAGTCGGCAATCACATAACTCGGTTTGCGACGTCGCAGACTTCCTGTCATACTTTATTTTTTAAATGGAAAACTACTCAGCGGCAATTCTTTAAAACTGTCATGATTTTTCTTCTCAATGCGAAGAAAATTCTGCAAAAACTTCAAGAAATAATATCAATTTGTTCTCCTTTAAAAAAATGACGTAGAGGCGGAGATTTTCAGACACCGCAAACGAGTTATGTGATTGCCGACTTTCACCGTCGAAATGCACTTGCGAGCTAGACGCGCGTCTAGAGCGGCGAGTAGACTTTCGGCCGTGTTTGGCAATCTCCGCAGCCAATCAGGTTGCAACTCTCTGAAAGTAGGTTCCAGAGACAATAAACTCTCCACTAGCCTCTTACCGACAGGTGGAAGCTTTTACTTTCGGGGATATTCGACAATTCTTAAAAGCCCTAGATAGACGATCAAATTCCCGAACCGATTCCGATCAAAGTAGCATCGAAGTGTCGGGAGTCATCGGTGTTAAACTCATTAATTTGCTTCATTTTAAAATGAAAACTTGGCAGAAATGTTTCCTGTGGCAGGAAATGATGAATGGCGGCACTCCGTTCTGATCTTACTTTGAACAAACAAGTGCGGCCCGTCAAAATTTGATGGTAGATGGTGACCACCAGTCATCAGCAAGTCTACTTTGATCGGAATTGGTTCGGAATTTGATCGTCTATCCAGGGCTTAAGGACAGTTGTAAGAAAGCAACAGTCATCAATCTTTTCTCGGCTTTTGACCTCCTTACACGGTGGATGATGAGCTTCGGGTGGCGTCATGAGCCAAACAAGTTTCCCAAACTTCGGCTTGTTTGCAAAACGAAACTGCCAACCCGTTGTTAAACATCAACCATCTAGGTACGCCAATAGTTTAATGTTGAAATCCCTAAAGTAAAATCTCCGACCACAGCCGAGATAGGAGTGGAGGGTCTCTTTGTCTCATGTAGAGTCCTTTTATACCCACATTTAAGACATCTCGATTATCAGCTGGCCTCGGCTGGTCATGGTGTCACAAAAGTGTGCACTTGAACGAACGATATTGAGGGCTAAAGAATAAGGAATCCTACGATGTCTTTCATCCAGAATCAACATGATCAACAAAACTGATCAAAACCTAACCGAGGAAATTGCCATAAAATAAAATGAGATTGATTTGTGAATAATTGTGGATCTATTTTCATTTTGGTGCGATGAAAATAACAATTTACTCTTGATGAGTCGCGATTAGGTTATAATTTCATTATTCCTGTTCACATTCGAGCCACCGCCATCTTGGTGCACTCTTCCGTGACTTTACAAGCAAAAATCAATCAGAATTGGAATTTTTTTAGGCCCCTTTCAGTTGTCTCTGAGCCTAAACCAAGCCCGACGAGAATTCAGATGTCGTAACTCTGGGTATAAAGGCACTCAAGTCTCTGGTAGGATCGGATTCTACTTTTCGCTAGACGCGCGTCTAGCGAGCAGGTGTATCTGGCCCTAATGTGCTGGTTACACACTCAAATTCCCATCAATTACCGATCAAATGGTGACCGGTGCGCACCATCTACCATCAACTTTCTGCGGCCTGCAAAAATTTGATGGGTGATGATGGAACTGTGGGGCTCATCCTTCATCTGATTTCCACACAGCCGTGCTTATTTCATGCTTATTTCAATCAACACGCTGATTTAATTAATTTTACTCATCAATCTAGATAACTCTCGACCGCTAGAGCACCTATATTGAGAGAGTATGGCCACTGAGCCCCATGGAGAGACTTAGGACCCAAAAATGGCGGTGCTTTGTTTCGGGTTTTGTGGATGGGAGGGGGGTCATTGCCAACTTTTGACGGTTACCACCAACCGCACTTGCTGCCAACCTTACTACATTCAAGATAATTTTTCTCAAAAATTGCACACGATTAGCCTTAAAAATATGTAAAGAAGTCGCAAGAGTGCATTTGAGTGAATTTCTCGTTACGATAAGCAAAGGAAACTACATTTTGAGTCATTTTGCATTGCATTAATTTATGGCGTCCGCCATTTTTGGGTCCTAAGGGCTCCATTCAGCCTAAGATGGCTGAGCCAATCAGCGGTGGTAACGCCAGTGGCCATACTCTCTCAATATAGGTACTCTATCGACCGCCATCTTGGTCATCACTTTGATCGGAATTTGACGGAAATTCGAGCGCGTAACCAGGCCATAAAACGAAGAAGCTAGAGTCCCTTTATACTCAGAGTTAAGACAACTCACTTTTGGTTGTGCCAGGGTTGGGCTGAAAGTGGCCTAAAAAAAAATCCAATTCTGATTGGTTCTCGCTCATGGAGGCCGAAACGAGTGCACCAAGATGGCGGTACCTCGAATGTGAACAAGAATAATGAAAATATTACCTAATTGCGGTTTATCAAGAGTTAATTGTTATTGCCATCGGTCCAAAATGAAAATAGATGAAGAAATTATTCACAAACCGATCCCATTTTCTTTTCAATCGATCAATTTGTTGATGTTGTTGTTTTTGTGTGACAGACATCGCAGGATTCCTGATCCTTATCCCTCGATATCGTTCGTTTGGGTGCACTCGTTTCGGCCTCCATGGCCAGCCAAGGCCGGCTGCCAGTCAGCTGATAATCGAGTTGTCTTAACTCTGGGTATAAAGGGACTCTAGAAGAAGCTGGTGACCGGGGACGAGTTGGATGTTTACCTTCGGTGGTGACGACCCGAGAGCGGACGAGATCAGTCTTGTTGCCGACGACGATGACGGCTTTGCTCTTGATGGAGTTCTTCTTCCACAGCGCCTGGAGGCACTCGTCGGCGACGGTGAAGCTGGAGCGGTCGGCCGTCGAGTAGACGACGCAGTAAGCGTGCGGCGGCTCGTAGGAGTCTATGCACTCTTCCGGCTGGAACAAATCGAAGAACGACCCCATCACACAAGGAGAAAGGAAACGGATGCATGCACGGAGAAAAAGTCGATACTTAATGGGTCACATTTACTTATACAGATTTAAAAAGACAGATTCAGATGGGTGTAAATTTTGCGTGACAGACCGAGACACGCCGGAACATACCTTTTTCTTTTGTTCCCGTTTCTTTGCAAAAAAACTAATACTTGATACTGAACTTGGTACTACATTAACTCCCGACAATTTTCAAAAAACCTTCTTGGCTAATAAATTAAACTGGATTACAATACAAAAATGTATAAAAGAAATTATTTTAATCAAATCTCTCCAATACCGAAACCCTCAACATTCCAGCCCCCTACCCCCTTCTCCAGCCGAAGATATACCTTCTGGCAATTCCGGCGTGTATCGGGAAGTCATCTCCTAATTAATTACTTTACTGTTACTTTACTTACTTAAGTTACTTTAAGTTACTTTACTTCCTGTTATCAATTTTGTTTAAAATAAATAAATGACTTGTCTTGTCCCGTATGGGGGACTGTACTCAGTACTGTCACAGGTTTAGCAAGCCTGCGGACCCCAGCTGGTAGCCCCTGCCTCAAAGGGGGGTGGAGATGGTCACCGGCTTCATGGCGTATGAACCACTCATCAGAGGGGCAGACAGGGCTCATAGCTGTGGTGAAAGCAGCCTGTCTAGGAGACGGTACTCCAAAATCAAACCCTGGTCCTCCAGGTTGGGGGTTGGGGCATCGGGCTAACTCCCCGATACCCGGAAAAAACTTAATGTTAAAAAGCCTAATAAAGATAGCCTCGGTGATAATGGAAAAAACGGATTTCGCGACACAAACTACGGAAAAGGAGAATGGTTTTTGGGACATGGAATGTACAGGGCATTTCTAATAAATTGACAGAGGTTGTATCGGAGGTAAAAAAGTATAATGTAGATGTCGCCGTGTTAACGGAAACGAAAAAGAAAGGCACAGGATCAGAAAACTTAGGATGTTATGATCTGTTCTATAGTGGTGTCAGTAAAGATCAACGCGCACAGCAAGGAGTCGCCATACTTATCCGGAAAAGTTTGCGTCCGTCAATAACTACTTGGGAAGCAGTAGACCAGCGGATCATCAGAATGCATCTTACACTGCATGGTCACAAGGTGGCCCTGTTAGGAGTATATGGTGTGAATGATGATGCTCCCGTCAATCTAAAGGATCAGTTCTTTGAGCAACTCAACGACGAGGTTCTGAGGGTTGGAAGGACAAGGGAGGTCATTATCATGGGAGATTTGAATGGTAGAACCGGACGAAGGAATGGTTCTAAAGTTGTTGGACCTTTCGGTGAAGAGGCGATGAATGACAACGGTGCACGCATCATTGATGTGTGTGAACAAAACGAGTTGAAAATACTGAACGGATTCTACCAACATCGAGATATCCATAAGTACACATGGGTTCAGCAAACTCGGGGGCTGAAGTCAATCATCGACTACGCGGTCACCAGGCAAACGAGTACCATGAAGGTTCAACAAGTAAGAGTTTGCCGGGGGTTCTCCTGTGGTAGTGATCACCATTTTCTCAAGGCGGAGATTGCATTTCCGGTTAAGTATGGGCTGCGGAGGAATACCTTGCAACATCAGAAGTGCCAGCCACAAGGAACGAAGATCGAACAAGTGCACTACAACATCGATAGCTTACAGCATGAAAGCGTGAAAGCGCTCTACAGGAAGCGGCTAGATGAGAAACTGGGAGTAGAAACTTTCGATACTGCAGAAGAGTTGTACCAGTTCATCAAAAGTTGTATACATTCAGCTGCGAAGGAAGCCCTGGGTATGTGTAATGAGAGCAAGGATGTACAGAAACCCTACTGGTGGGACAAAGAGGTAGAGGAGGTAATTGAAGAAAAGCGTAGGAAGTACCATGACTATCTGGCTTCTAGGACTGCAGACACCCGCGGCGCGTATAGGAAAGCCCAGGCGAGGGTTCGTCTTTCAATCACCAGGAAGAAAAACGAGTCTTGGGAGAACAACTGCTCAAGGATTGACACATACCTGGGGGGAAGGAAGAGTGCCGAGAGCTGGAAGCTGATCAAAGGCCTAAGAAGGGACATGAAACGGGACATTATATCTCCGATAACAATCTCACAGCTTGACGAACATTTTAGTAAATTATTGACGGAAGGGCGACCAGAGTTTCAAACGGGGAATGCTGAAAATATAGTCGAGGATCACTCAATGGAAATTCGAGTTGAGGAGGTGGTCAAAGCAATCAGGGAATTGATGAATGGAAGAGCTCCTGGGCCGGGAAACATTCCAGCCGAGTTAATTAAATGTGGGACTGGCAAGTTGGTTAACCATCTCAGGGATTTGCTGCAGAAGTGCATTGACGGTGATGACATCCCGAAAGAATGGAAAGAGGCCTGGATAACAGCGTCGCATAAAAAAGGAAGGAAGGATGACTGTGGGAACTACAGAGGGTTAGCGGCGACAGAAACGATAAGTAAAATTTATGGAAAAGTGTTGAAAGCGAAGATCGAAGAGGAGTGGACCCCGTTCGAGGCGGAGGAGCAAGCAGGTTTTAGGGCTGGTCGGTCTACCGCTGATCATCTGTTCTGTGTTACCCAGTTAACCGATTGAAGAGAATTGTTGGCCAGGAGCTTCATTTAGTGTTTTTGGATATTGAAAAGGCTTATGATAGTATTCCTCTTGTGAAACTCTGGGAAGTCCTAGAAGAAACTGGTTTTAGTAAAGGACTTATTGGGGCAGTCAAGCAGTTTTATCGGGGGGCTTTTGCTAGAATCAAGTGCCAAGGAAGGCTTTCAGATGGTTTTTTTGTCACCAAGGGGCTTAAGCAGGGATGTTGTCTGTCACCGACGCTGTTTAAGATATATCTAGAGCACGTTCTGAAGGAGTGGAAAAGAAAGTGTGCCGGCATGGGCGTCCCTCTAAATGACCAAGAAACACTTTTCACGCTATGCTTTGCTGACGACCAGGTAGTCATAAGTCAAGATCACGATGACGCGGAGTATATGACCCGGAAGTTGGTGGAGGAGTACCGCAAATGGGGCCTCGAGGTTAGTGTCCGTAAGACAAAAAAGATGTCAGTCGGAGGTGCTCAGCAAAGCATAGTCCTGGAGGATGGTCAACATATAGAAAGTTGCGAACAATACAAGTACCTGGGGGTGAAGCTGACTTCGGATGGGAAGCTGGATCAGGCCATTCGGGACCGTAATCTTCTAGGAAGGAAAGCCATCGCCATGCTAAATGGGATCCTTTGGGACCAAAGGATTTCCAAAGACAACAAGAAGAGGATTTATAACTCGGTTGTCAAGCCTATTATCACCTATGGCAGTGAAGTGTGGCAGTTGAAGAAGCGGACCCAAGAAATGCTCAAGGCGACCGAGATGGATTTCTGGCGAAGATCGGCTAGAATCTCGAGGAGAGAACGTGTCAGGAATGAACGTGTCCGAGAGATAATGGGCGTTGAGGGGACGATTGTGCACGATATCATGACCAAGCAATTGGTATGGTATGGGCATGTGCAGAGAATGGCTGATACCAGGTTGCCGAGGAAGGTGTTGGAGTGGGTCCCCCCAGGTAGGCGACGGAGAGGACGTCCAGCCAAACGGTGGGTAGAGGGCATCCATGAAGAGATGGAGAGATGCCAGCTTCCGGAGGATCTCTACCATGACAGATTCCTGTGGAGAATAGGCGTCGCAGAGCGCCCTAGCGCGCCGTAAAAGCGGCTCATACATACATACTTGTCTTGACAAAAAAAAAATGGGTCACTTTTGGACCGCGTTAAACAGAGAGGGACCAAGCCACATCAGCTTTTGCCGAATTTAATCGGGCAATTCAATTTTTTACATGAAAACAGTTGTGCGGATTTTTGTGGAAATTTCTATGAATTTTCTCCATAATACAAAGTAAATTCCTCAAAATTTTCAAAGGGATCCGCACAAACGTTCTCTCGTACAAAATCGAAATCCCCTGTTAAATTTGGCAATAGCTGATGTGGCTTGGTTCCTTTCTGCTTAACGCGGTCCATTTAGCAAGAAGGAACCAGCGCGATCACAGTGTTTTCGAAATCGTGCAAGTTCTTCTTTCCTTTTAATAAAGCTCAATATAATTACAGTATTGAAAATTACAGAATTATTTTCCTCTACAATTAACAGTTTTTAGGTAGGAAGCACCAACTATTTGCTATTTTGAGAGATTTTTCCGATAGTTATGAGGAAGCAACATTTTTACAACACTATAATGATACCAGTTCCTTTTTGATAAATACGATCCATATCAACTCAAACATGTGTAATGTGTAATAGCAAATCATAAAATGCCTTCAAAATTCGGAATAATTAGCGCACATCTGTGGAGTTAAAATATTTGTATCACCTAAAAAATTGAAATATCTAGAGGATACGGATCACATTTATCAAAAAGGAACCAGCGCGATTACTGTCTTTGTGAGTTAAATATTAGAGCTAACACAAAGCGGAGCGGCGTGCTACCGGCGCGACATACGCATTAGCGCCTACAAACCTAACAGGGATACTTCACGCATTGCGCAATGCGTGCATCACCTCTGTCGTGAAATAGTTGCTTGAAGCGCCGCGCCGCGGCGTACCACGGCGCGGCGCTTCAAGCAACTATTTCACGACAGAGGTGTTGCACAGTATCATACGAAATTGAAGGCGCTCCAACATATTAAGAATGACAGGCATCCTCTGAGAGTACGGAGCTTTCCTCGCAAAATAAATCAAGATACTACGGCACAAAAAGAGAGCGGTTGTCCAAAAACTCACTAAGTCCTAGCATCCGTATTTAATAACGTTGAACTTACTTTTTGAATTTTATTAGAGAAAAAAGTGACTCGATTTAGGCAGAACCATTCTTGGGTATGCCGTCAAGAAGATTTTATTTTGAATCGAGAATAAAATAGCTGAACGAAAGCGGGTTTCTGCTTGATGTAAGTGACTTTGTAAGGAGTTTGAGTTTGATT